GAGGGATGATATCAAGCACATCAAACAAGAAGAAAGCAAATGTTCATTAAAAAGATGAGAGAGAATGAAAAGACAAAAATGGATGTCAGAAAAGACTCTGAAACTTGCTCTTGAGTGTAAAGTAGCTAAAAAGAATGGAAGACATGAGGATGTAAAAGAGCTGAACAGAAAATTTCAGAGGGCAGCTCATGAAGACAAAGTCAAGTATAATGAAATGTGCAAAAGACCTGTAGTTAGCAAACCAAAATGGAAGAACACACTCAGCATTTCTCAAGATGAAGAAACCGAAAAAAGAGGTCAAGCCTTGGCTTGCAATACTGAAAGAATCTATGGGAATTTTTTTAATCAATAGTAAAATGTCAGTTTGAACACTAAGGCGCACCTGACCCAAACCATGGTATTTTCAATTGTCTCATATGCATGTGAAAGTTGGACAATGACTAAGGAAAACCAAAGAAGAATGGATACATTTGAATTTTGCATTTGGAGGAGAATAATAAAAGTGCCATGGACTGCCAGAAGAACAAGCAAATCTGTGTTGAAAGAAGTACAAGCATAAAGCTCCTTAGAAGTCAGGATGTTGAGACTCAGTCTCTCACACTTTGGATATATTATAGGAGGGTACCAGTCCCTGGAGAAGGACATCATGTTTGGTACAGCAGAGGATCAGTGAAGAAGAGGAATCCAACAACCAGATAAATTGGCCTCCAGGAGAGCAGGGTCTGTGCTGGGAGTAGATTAGGGTTGGGACCAGCCAGGGGAATATAACGAAGAACATTTCCTGTTGCCTGTGTGACTCTACTCTTCCAGGCCATCTCCTCTCTCCAAAGCTACTTGAAAGAGTTCAAGATGACTGCACATCTGGCCAGATGACCATTCACCAGTCTCTTTCTTCCACTGTTCCTCCTAGCTTCTCTTCCCAATAAGTATTCAATGTGCTTCTCCAACATTTCCTCTGAAGCTGAGGGTTCCAGGATTATCATCTGTGTCAGCATCATTTGGTCTTCTGGATCATCTGTGTCAGTTTCGTTTGGTCTTCTGTATCATCTGTGTCAGTTTTGTTTGGTCTTCTGTATCATCTGTGTCATCATTTGGTCTTTTGTATCTTTGTTGTAGAGGGTCTGTGTAGCACATCTGCCTAGTCTGCCATCTTGCCAAAAGTCCTCAAAATACTCTTATGACAATGAAGATGACATAATTTCTCTTAAATTTTCTGTTCCTGGCATAGTAAACTATATGATTATCAGATTCAAAATGACCATAACCAGTCCACTTCAGTTCACCAATACCTAGGATATCTATCATTATGGATTACATTTAATTCGTGACAACTTCCAATTTACTTAGGTTCATACTTGATACATTTCACATAGAAATTACTGAAACACAGACTAACACTATAGTTATAGGGGCAATGAGATAGAACTCATTTAATGCTTTAAATACAAGAGTGCTCTCTTGCAACTGTTTTAAAAAGGAGTACATACAAAGTTCAAGAATCTGCAAATCAATTCCTTTAAGTCTATCTGTGCCCAGATAATCCTCAGGAAGTCTCTGAGTCCTCACAGTATTGTGGATCCCTGTTTGAAGAAGGTTGTAAGGCTTGAGCCCTCATGAGTTCAGCAGTGAGAGGTTCCTACTTTGATGTTGGGGAGGAACACCCAGACTCAATGACCGAGGGTGTGGTATGTGATGTACCCGACACTGGCTGCTCCTGGTCCCGCCTCTGGCCCTGGGTTCCACCTCTCCTCCCCATTGTGTCCTCAAATAAAACTTCCAATGGAGCATAAACTCATTCAACACTCTCTCTGCATCAAATGGGATCACTGGGTAGTGCCAACTGTGAAGAGCTCTACAACTAACCAAAACATTAACGATCTGAAGGCACCTTCGGGTACCTTGAAGGAAATGCCGGATGATCATCCCAAAAAATCAGTCATAGGAAACCCTACGGAGCACAATTTTATTCTGATACACATGGAATCACCAGAAGTTGGAATGAACTCCATGGCAACTGGGCTTGAGTTTGTGGTACATAGAACACTGACTTATGGGATGGAAAAGAGGCTGGAGATGTCTGTGAAGGGGAGGGAGCGAGAGGAAGAGGAACATGAAGAGGTGTCCTTTGTCCTAGCAAGTCTCTCTGATCGTGACTTCCATGAATTCCCATGGCACTGCCTTCCTGGAGTACAAGATTGCACCTCACACCTCCACACCTGACACATGTGCTTGTTGTGTGCCACTGAGTCGACTTCAATTCATAGCAACTTTCTACTGCAGAATACAACTGCCCCTAGGGTCCCTAGGTTTTCATCTTTACTCCTGCCTGACGGTGTTGTCTTTCTCAATAGATTCTGATGAAAACTCCTTTGAAACAGGAATCATGCCTTAGACAAAAACCAGAAACAAAATAGCCAAATAAAAAAAAGTTATAAAATAATCAAATAATTTGTAATGATTTAAGTAATTTGTGTTTATTTTTATATGTGAAATTAAGATAATAAAAAACATAAGTAAAACTGGGTAAAAGGAAAAGAGAAAAAGAAGAAAAGAATCACATCAAATCCTTCCATCCAGATGTAAGTATTGTTAGCACTTTGAGAGCCCTCTTGACAAATATTTAGAGACCTATACTGTCACGTTTTGCACTCTTGGTCTTCCTCATAGCATCTCGTATTGACCTAGGTGCTTAGACTATGCTTCTGCTCTATGGACCCTTCAGTTAGGATATGAACTCTGACCCCGTTTCTTCACACTATACATAGAAAGTATAGTATAGTTGGTTGGTTGGTTGGTTATGTACCGTGGAGCCGGTTCTGACTCATAGCGACCCTGTATGGGGTCTCCAAGGCTGTGAATCTTTACGGGAGCAGAGAGCCTCATCTTTCTCCTGCGGAATAGCCCGACTTGTAACCACTACACTACCAGAGCTCCTAAGTAGTAGTTGTCAAAAAAACAGTTGTCATAGCCTTCTGAACAGAGTTCGCTGCATTGACTTTAACTGGCTCATTAGATGCCCTCAGAAGCCACTGTTTTGTTTGACCTTTCTTTGGAATGTCCTCAGTCATCTAAAATACAACTATTAGTTTCAGTAAATAAGGAAGCCCATAGAAGAATTGATGCTTTTCAGTTATGGTGTTGGAGACTATTGAAAGTGCCATGGGCTGCCCATAGAACCAACAGATCTGTGTTGGAAGAAGTGCAGCCAGAGTGCTCCTTGGAGGCCAGGATGGCCAAACTTTGTCTCTCATACTTTGGACATATTGTCAGGAGGGACCAGTTGCTGGAGAAGCATATCATGTTTGGTAAGTTGGAGGGTCAGAGAAAAAGAGGAAGACCCCCAGTGAGATGGATTGGCCAAGTGGCAGTATCGATGGACACAAGCATGGCAATGATTGTGAGGTTGGCCCAGGATCGGGCAGTGTTTTGTTCTGTTGTGCATAAGGTCGCTATGAGTTGGTACCAAGTCGATGGCACATAACAACAAGTGCAAAAGAGAAAGACAATAAAATACTCAGAGACAGAACCTGCCTACAAGACTAAGTGTCTATGAAAACCTCCGCCTCACTTACCCCAAGAACAGGAGAACTAGGTAGTGCCTGGTTCCCACTGCTGACTCTTCTGATCAGGGTCACAATAAATGTTGTTGCTGTTAAGTGCCTTTGAGCTGATTTTGACCCATAGCGGCATTGTATAGGGTTTCCAAGGAGAAGCTGGTGAGCTTAAACCACCAACTTTACAGTTCAAATGACTTTGCAGTCTGACACATTAGCCCACAGTGCCACACCAGGACTTCACACCTGGTCACCACAATAAATAGATCCTCATAAAAGGGGAGAAAAATGCAGAACAGAACTTAAAATATTAAAAAGTCTAAGTTTATTGGACTGGTTGAGACAAGAGACTGTTGTCCTGAAAGACTCTTTAAACCTTGAACTGAAATCATTCCCTCAAGTCAATTTTTAGTTAAAGTAACAGAATGGCTCACAAACTAAAGCATACCACCTATGAGTATTCTGCTTCCTTAAAACATCATATTTATGAGACCAATCAGTCAACAATTACTTAAAGAAATAAAACTAAACATGAAAAGGTAAAGGAGCAGTGGAGCGGAAACCAGAACCACAATGGAAGTAATGAAAGTCTCTGCATTGTGACGACGTAACCAGCGTCACTGAAATACTCTTGTAAAAATTATTGAATGGGAACCTAATCTGCTGCGTAAACTTTCAACAGAAACACAATAAAGCATGATTAAAAAAAAAAAAAGTAAAAGTAAAAGAAATCTAGCAACAAAATGAATTGGGCTAATCTGTTGCCAAAGACCTCTTCAAACATCACAAAACCAAAGATATAATTTTGATAACTAAGATGCATCTGACTCAAACCATGGTTTTCTTCAGTCACCTCATATGTGTGTCAAAGCTGGACAGTGAAAAAGGAAGACAGAAGAATTGATGTGTTCAGACTATGCTGTTGGCAAACCATATTAAATATACCATGGACTTCCAGAAGAATGAGCAAATCAGTCTTGGAATGAATCAACCTTCAAACTGAAGATCGCAAGTCTCTGGGATTCGGGGACTTCCCAAGCAGAATGTTTTCTAGAGGAGAGACTTCAACTCGCTTACTGAGGGTACGTTATCAGAGATTAGTCACTAGGAAAGAACATTATGGTTGGCAGAGGGTCACTGAAAATGTAGGAAGCCCTCAATGAAATGAACTGCCACAGTAGTCTAAACAATGGGTTCAAACATACCAAAGATCTTGAAGCCAACACAGGACTAGGCAAAGCTTTGCTCTGTTTTATGTAGGGTCACCATTGAGCTGACTCAACAGCAATTGTCAACAAGAACTATTAGCACTGCTGTTGCCGAGTGCCACTGAATTGGTTCCTACTCATAGGCACCCCATATAGAGTTTTCAAGGAGCAGTTGATGGGTTTGAACCACTGACTTTGCAGTTTGCAGTCCAGTGCCACACGAGGACTCCACAGTTCCTGCCCAAACAGTGACTTGAACACTGGATTCTCAGATTAAAAATCTGATGCTCTACCAACTGAGCTACCCAGGTTCTTAATGTTAGAAACTGAATTAGAAGAAAAAAGAAATGCTCTTCCAGTCAACCATCTTTTATTAAGGTTCCACGCCTCCTGCCAGATTTCTCAGCTTCTCTTTCTCACAGCTTCTGAGATACAGTCTGCTGGAGATTTTCCAGGCACAGAGCCTGGCAAAGTCTACAGCCTCCCAGCCCCCATCCTCCCTACTCTCCATTCCATTCCATAAACCCATTGCCAGATAGTCAATGCCTACTCCTAGTGACCCCATGGGCTCCACCCAATGGAACAGCAGAGTTGCTCCACAGGGTTTCCAAGTCTACAAATCTTATGGAAACAGACTGCCGTATTTTCTAGCCAGTAGCCAAGCATGTGGCCACTACATCAGCAGGGCTCCTTTATCCACCCCAGCTGTTACTAGAACTGGAAATGAACAGATACCTAAGCATGTTTGTTGTTGATGATGTTGTTAAGTACCATCAAGTTGGTTCTGACTCATAGCGACCCTGTATAGGGTTTCCAAGGAGTCTGGTGAGCTTGAACTACTGACCTTGAAGTTCAAACTGACTTTGCAGTCCAGTGCATTAACCCACAGTGCCACAGCAGGATTCAGCTGAAAACTTTCTTTTTTAAAGTCTTGAGACTTTGGGCATGTTGCAACTGAAGTGACATTGGATAGATTTATTTATATTTGTATCTTCACTTTCCTCATAATTTTGCTCCTTTGTCTGTGTCTTTGGTATCAAGATCCCCCTTCCTCTTCACCTACTTTACGGGGGGGTTTTCTATTCCCATCACTCTCAGGAAGATGGGGTGTGGCTGCTTTGACAGCCTGTTCTGGAATCACGAGTCCTCTAGGAAGGACAGGATCAGACAGGCCTCAGAATCTTCTTAGAGCTACAGGGTAATGGCTCATGGCAGCTTGGCAGGAGGCCAAGAGCTGGTTACAGCAAGTTTGACCATCTATCACTAGACACACTTGTCTCTTGTTTCCACCTTTGCAAAGAAAGGCCGTTGAGTCAGTCAGGGTTGTTTGCCTAAACTCATTCCTCAATCTCAGCAATATATCTTGTAGGAGGAGAACTCAGTTAAAGGAAGAATGTTATTTGAAAGGGGAAAAGGTCATGAAAGAATGAGCAAGTATGATTGTGTAACTCATCCAGTCTGGAAACACCCTAGACACCCATCTCAGAGGTAAAGCTGTGATTTAGAGACTTGTTGCCAGTAACATTAAGTATCTTCCTAGCTGTTGTCAGTGTAAAATGAGCTGCAAAGTTGGGCAGTTTTATCTCAGTTTTGTTAAATGCCACTGAGTTGGTTCCTAATCATAGCAACCCTGTATGGGGTTTCCAAAGAGCAGCTGGTGAATTTGAACCACCGAACTTGTAGTTCAAACTGACCTTAAGGTTGAGTGCTTATCCTACGAAGCCACATGAGGACTCTTGGTTGGTTGTGAGCTGTGGAGTCAGTTCTGACTCCTAGTGACCCTGTATAGGATTTCTGAGGTTGTAAATCTTTACAGGAGCAGAAACCCTCATCTTTCTCATGCAGAATGGCTAGTAGTTTCGAATTGCTGACCTTGAGGTTAGCAGCCAGACTTGTAACCATTACGCTACCAGAGCTCCAAGTTAAGTGCTGTCAAGTCGGTTCCGACCCATAGTGACCCTACATTGGGTTTCCGAAGAGCAGCTGGTGAACTTGGACCACAGACCTTGCAATTCAAACAGCTTTGCAGTCTGATGCATTAGCCCACAGCGCCACACCAGGACTCCAGCTCCTTTAGGCACACTGAAATACGGAAAAAGCACCAGCATTATGGGCAAAGGAATGAAGGACTTAATGAAGACTTTGAAACATTAGTTGAGCACCTACTATGTGCAAAGTTCTCTATTAGGCCTCATGGGAAGAAAGAACAGGATGTGGAGATAAATTATACCATCTCTGCCTATTATAATGTTAGTATTTCCATATCAGAGAGAATGCTTTCAAATGTGGGCGTTCAGTTGGCCATTTCAGAAAGCAAAAAGCTCCCTGATTTTGCATTCCCAGTTTGCTGCCAGAACCTCTTCCTGTCCTTCAGGCTGTGAATTTCTCTCCATTCTGTCTCTGCTTCTTTCTTCACCTCTATCTGCTCTCTCTGGGGTCTCCAAAGTTTCTGTCCTCCTGTATGTCTCTGCCACCACCCATCGGTCTATTTTCCATTTGTCATGATTCCATGATGCTAGAAGCTATGTTACTGGTATTTCAAGTTGAAGCAGGGTCACCCATGGCGAACCATTTTCAGCAGAGTTTCCAGATTAAGACAGACTAAGAAGAAAGCCCTGGCAATTCATTTCTGATAGTTTACCGATAGAAACCCTATGGATCACTACAAAATATCGTCCAATACAAAGCAAGGAGATAATCCTTCCACACTGGAAGATAGTAAAAATTCATAGCAGTTGCAACAATGAACTAGATGTGGTTCTCATCAGCTTGCTCTCTTCTTGTGTGTTCTGTGCAGGCTATTTGAAAACAACAAGTAACTATTCCACAAACGAACACTTCCTAACGTGGCACAAGATCAGTCAGTGTTGCGTTCTTTTGTGCATATGGTAACTGTGAGTTGCAAATAACCTGATGTCAAATAACTGAAGCAGAATCTGTTAAGGACATGGTTTCTAATTCTAACTTTCGTTTTGATTCAGATTAGCATACCAGGTCCATCATAAATTTGTAGTGTGACCCTCAGTTTCCAATTTGCCAAATGAGCTTCCTAATACTCAGATTGTTGGAGGAATTAGCCAGGATGTACTAGCGTAGTGGTTACAAATCGGGCTGCAAACCTTAAGGTCAGCAGTTCGAAACTACCAGCTGTTCTGCGGGAGAAAGATGCGCTTTCTGCTCCCGTAAAGATTTACAGCCTTGGAAACCCTGTACAGGGTCACTATGGGTCGGAACCGACTCCACGGCACATAACAACAACAACACTCCCTGGATGGCGTGTCTGGAGAATCTGATGGACCTAAAGAATGCTATTTTCCCCTGTCTCCTCACTCTTCAAATTCCCGGCACAGATAGGGTGTTTGTTAGAGGTTCTGGGCTATGAGAAGAACTCCTTATCAGATGATGACTTGAACAAATAAAAGTGCTGTCATCATTTTGAAATTTGGGCTCTTGGTTTCATTTTCTCTCTGGCAGGGTGATTTATGCTATATCATAATCCCTCCTGCAGCTAGAGCAGGATTTATGATGTCATCGATTATACATAAATGAATGTATGTGTTGGGGGGTTACGCCTGCTGAGGCACAACTATCTGGAAGAAGAGAAACAGCATTCTCAACTTCAGCTTATGGTAACTGGGATACATGCCGACAGCTTGGCTGGGCTGGTAAAGGCTGGAGATTTCTCCTTCCAGATTCAAAATAGCTAGTAAAGTCAGTTATGCAGAGCTCACTTTGCGCTAAGTGACAGAGATGTCCAACCTCCATAAATTTGGGCATGACAAGGAAACAGCCTGATCTCTGGAAGATCAACATTAAAAGCCACGTCAGCAGTGTTACAGCTAAAATACAGTCAACAGCAGGCAACCCAGACAGCCATGCCTGCAGGAGGGAGAGACAAAGGGAGGAAAAATAACTCATATGTGGATCCCAACATACTCAACATAGTAAAGGATAAGTCATGTCCAAAGTGAGGTCTGGAAATTTCCAGCAAATCAGACCACTCCTTTGGTCCTAGGGAAGAACGTTTCTGGAACTCCCTGGAACTGTTCCCAGGAATGCCACGAGTCTCAAATGGAGTCAGGTCACAGATGCCAAAATCCTGAAGGGTTTCAGTTTTCTTTATTAGCCCATAAAGGGAAGAAGGCTGACAAGAGGGTACGGGGAGGCTAGTGACAACCACAGATGGGTTGGTCTTAGGAGAGAGAAATCCACGATCTCTGAAAGCATTCATTTGTTTTTCTGAGTGCAGACTCTCTCTCAGAGTAGGTATGGAAGGGAGGATTCTTTGACATATTCTTGCCTTGAGAATATTCCAGAATGTGTCTAGTCTAGCATCTGTTAGAGAAGTTTATCCCTGTAGGACACTGGCTAACTTGGATGGGGTGGCAGTTCTGGGCAGGCTGGGACCTAGACGTAGTTTTTATCACTTTCTTCCCTCCTTGTGTGTTCTGTACAGGTTATTTGAGAAAAACAAGGCAGACACAAATGTTAAATGACAACGAGGATCAAATAATGCCAGAGAAGCCAGAAGGCAATGTACAATAGATTTCAGAGGAGGGACAGGCCACAGGGGCTCAGGATCTGAGGGCAGTGGGTTTCAATGGTTAGGAAGGCTTCTAGGTGGCTACCCCAGAGAGCCAGTTTTGTATGAAGCTGGGTTTGCTTCTAAGGATACATTTGAAAGACGCAGGAGTTAGAAAAGCTCTGATATCCTCCCCTGGAAACACAGTTGCCGTCACGTCTGACTTAAGACAACATCTTGTGCAGCAGAGTAGAATTATGCTCCATAGAATTTTCAGTGGCTGATTTTTTCAAAAGTAGATCACCAGGTCTTTCTACTGAGGTGTTTCTGGGTGAACTTTAGCCTCCATCCTTTTAGTTAGCAAGTTAACCATTTGCATCTCCTAGGGACCCACCAAACAAAACCCACTGCCCTTGAATTGATTCCAACTCAGAGAGACTCTACAGGACAGGGTAGAGCTGTTCCATTGGGTTTCTGAGACTAAGTCTTGATGGAAGCAGATAGCCTCATCTTCCTCGCTCAGAATGGCTGGTGGGTTTGAACCACCAACCTTACAGTTATAAGCCCATTGCTTAACCCGCTGTGCACCCGAGTTCTTTATACTCTCAAACAGGATGGGCCTACTCCAATTTCCAGGTGAAGAATCTAGTGTGAGGGACGGGCCAGCATCCCAAACTGTGCACCCCCTTCATCACTGGCTGAGAGAGTCCAGGCTGAAGTGAGGTCAGGCTTGGAACGGACAGGCACTGACAACGTGCGCAGCCCATAGCAGCTGAGAGCGAGGTTTCT